AAGCGCATGCTTAACAGGCCTGCTGAATCACAGCTTTGCCACTACTAAGAATTCAGCCAGCTTTTTAGAATTTGTCTTCAAGTAAAACCATTTCTTTACAATTTTTGTTGCCTATGTTTCAGGGACTCCTCATAGTCCACGCAATGGTCAGATCTGTTAATATTGCTGTGAATGCAAAGTCCCTTTCCCGAAGCTCCAGATCTGCACTAGCTTCACCAAATCCAAAATCTAGTTTTTCATTAAAAAAAAAAAAAAAAAATCATTTCAGCTATAATTACAGCAATCTAAAGGATCACTTGACAGTTGTTATAACTACAGTTATTAAAATAAGTGTTAGTACAATTACACAAGTAATAATTAAATTGTAATGCTAATGATTAAAGCTGCATCAGTATTTATTATTTGTTCATCACAGTAAGCTTGTAGGTGTATCACAGCAACAAGAACTCACTTGCACATATGAATACATCTTTTTTACACCTTTGCCAAGGCATGGGTAGATTAGTCCTAGACGTGAGTGAGACAGATAAATACATAAAGTCATGTAGCAATTGGTTATGTAGTGAAATCTTTAGACTACCGTGAAATAACCTTCAAAATTAATGCAAAATGTGTCATCTTAATTCTAAATATTTTAATAAACTCATTAATTAAAAATATCATCTTACATGTGAGTTTTACTTACCAACAACATCGAGGTGGTATGTGTGATTGATGGATCCATACTGGTTTTCCACTATACACGTATAATTTCCCTTGTCAGACGGGACCACACTCTCCATGATGAGACTCCAGTGCTGGTTGCGGACCTGGCAGGTTGTAACCAGAGAGGTTGGGAACTGCACTGGCATAGTTTCACTCTCTCCCCCTCCAAAAGAACTGTTTTCTGAATAGTTAACCTTTTGTCACCCATGTTTAAAAGCCTATTCTGTGCTCGTTTGACAGTTCTGAATACTGAAATACTTTATTTATTCCTGATCAGGTACTGCACGGCTGCAGCAGTGAAAGCTTTCACACATTCTGCTATAAATTTACTTCGTCCCTGATCTGAGCACTGCAGACATCAGTGCACGCTCAGTCCTTCCGGCGTATGAGGATGGCACCAATTAGCAGCAGTTGTCTTACCAGGCTTTACTTCTCAATGCACTCTAAAGGAAATTCACACCCTCAGGATATTTCCCATCTGTCTCCAAACAATCATCCGATAATACTAACTACCCACCGGCAATATGGGATGGATATGATCCCCTAACATCCAAGTCTCTATCTTTCTCTGATAGCTCAATTACACAGCCCACATTTTGGAGAAACAAAGTACGGAAGGGCAACGTTTGGGATTCCTCCCACAGACACGTAAGAGTGGCCAAATCTCTTGCTGCTCCAGGGTACCATGAGAAAGAAATGAAGATGCTGCCTCATGAAAAATGCCTGAAGAAAATCCTCACAGAAACAGAGCATAAGGATATACATTTATTTCATACAATCCTTCTCAGACAGAATATATTAAACGTGCTGATTCCGTTCCCATTTGAACTCAAAAGGAGCATTGGCATTGGTCTTGCAGAAAATAGGATCCAGCCCAATACTGGAAGGATATAGAGTCATCCGGTACACATATATATTTCCTGCATCATAACTTGGCTCCTAAAATGACCTTTTGCTGGATATCCACTAATCCCTTGTTTTAGCATTACATTTTTGACAAAGCACTCAAAGATCTTAACATGATGTAGCTGTAATGTACAACTTTTAAACTGTGAAGTACGTATTTTAGCAAGTGGAATAAAAATACAATGTGGTACAGTCATTTTAATCAGCCAAACGGAAAGTAGTAACTCTGTGCAGTACACCAGAAAAATTTATGGACCATTCAGTGACACTTCCAGTAACCACACATTCTTAAAAGATCGTTACAACTATAGGTCTGAAATCCTGCTTCGTGCCTGACTATTGTGTAGGTCCTTAGCGCTCTCACTTGCTGGAGGTAAAAATGCCTTCAGTTCAAAGCCTGGAAGAAAAGAGTCCTCTCTGTAAGGGGCTCCTGGCTTTCCTAGTCCCCTCAGCTAGTAATTCGCTCATTGGTTAGTTGTTACTATTACTGTCCAGTTACAGGCTAATAATATTAGCTGATGACTGGCCAAGTGGGCTTTGAAAAAGAAAATGTAGACAAGACTCCAGCAGCGGGTAAAGGGCATGGATGCTAACAAAATGTCGCAGAAATGTGCGACAACTTGACCCCAAAATCTCCAGCCCAAATTTACAGCTCCTCTCCCCAGCCCCCTGTCTTGATGGCATACATCAAAACTATATATCGATTATTTTTTTTTTCACACTATGAAGAGCTAAGAAATAAGTTTATAAAGCTAGAAAGAGTTTGTCAGGGTTATCTTAATTGTCTTGTTATTCTGCTATGCAACTCTGAAAATCAAAGTTTGGGTCAGGAAGAATTATTGTCATAAAACACTGGTAAATAACAAATACAACAGCTACATATTTTTAATATTTTACTTCTTTATCAGCTATTTTGGGACAGACTTGGTCAAAGCGACCTGAACTTTTTGCCATTACAAGTTACATCACACTTCTCAGAATCAGAGCAAATGTTTTTAACCTATTTGACTGCAAAACAGGAAGAACAGACTGTGGTTCTGTGAAAGTTAAAAGAAAATAAAATTGGTAACAAGCTGTAAGTAATTAATTTGATAGGAAAACAGAAGAGATTGTTTAGCATTCAATAAGAAAACACAACTAACTTAGAGCCACGGGCAGATATACTGAATGGCAATATTAAAAAGTATTCATGCAGTTTCCCTTCTTGTAACTCCAATGAGAAGAGATAATATCTTTGTAATAAAACAACAGCTTAAGCCTCTCTTCAGTTTAAGCTAAACAACTGCTGTAGAGGCCCAAAGCATTTATGACACATCGTCACACAACTGGATTTATGTCATGAATCTGGATTCAACTAGATTCAGCTTGATGGCTTATTGCTTCCTGGTTACAAGTGCAGCATTGCAAAGCCCAGAAAACCCCCCCTTTGCTGTGGATGACGGCATCTTCTCCTGCTGATCACTCCCAAACTGAACCTTTCACTCTCAGGCACGCGACAGTCCTGCTACATCCCTGCAACCACACAGCTTGCAATGCCCCGATCATACAGGCTTTGTTAACATGGTCTTTTTAAGTAACATGCCGTCACTCCCTAGTCCCAACAAAGCCCGTCTTTGGACAGCAAAATTGGTGCCATGACTGACAACCAGCACCAAAATCACGCCAGTTTATGCAAAAACTAGTTTCAAAAGAGGTTCAAAGCAGTGCTTCAACAGTATACAGGTCTTACAACAGCCTTCTGTGTATGGATGAACTACAGCAGCGATATGCACTTTTGGGGGGGGGGGGGGAAACCAAACAAAAAACCCCACCCTTGTGACTGAAGCTGCAATGCAGGTGAAGCCATTAGCTTCTTCCAGGTTGCTCACCAGGGCCCTTCTAACTGAAGACTACAGTGTTACAGCTCTCCAAATACTCCCTAAGTTTTCCTGGATAATACCAACTGGGTCTATTTAAGCTGTTTAAATCCATGACTTGAGCTCGTCTGGCAGACAGAACATATTAGGGAGCTTATGTGAACTAATCCACTAGGAAAAAACACGAGGGCAGCAACAAGCCACTGAAAGCAGGAGCATCCTCACCAGGCACATGGGGTCCAGCAAAGGACAAGTGTCCACAACCAGACATTTATCAGTTGTAGCAAACTCTTCCAGCTCTCCAACCGGACTAGCTCCTTGCCAGCTATTATCCTCTTATTTCTACTATGTTGTTCCCTGAAGCCCTACTTCATATTGAGTTCTTTCAAAATCCTGAACAATACCTACACAGTGCAACCCACTCCACCACCTGGTCTTCAGAGTACCCCTTCCAATTTGTCATTGCCTTTTCTCGATACAGGGAAATTCAGGGAACAACCGCATTCCAAGTATCCCAAACCATAGCTTGACCCTTCAGATTCTTTGTCCACAGAGTTTAATAACTGCTTTTGCCCTTTCTTTTATTCCTTTGAAATACCTGTTTTCTTGTTTTATCTGTGCTTCATACGCAAAAATGGTACTTTGAGATAATAAATACAATCTCAACATTATTTTTTTTACTGACACTTCTAGAAAATTACTGATGTGCTTTTTTTGGCCATCTTCTCCATCAAATGTTTAACCAATTCTTCCAGTCTCTCCGAACAATTAAATTTTTAAACTAAATTATCAATATCAAATGCATACAACTGTACCCTTAAGATACAGCTTGGGGAAACCTAAACTGGAATCAAAATGCCAAGAAATATTGGTCAGAAATCTAGGAAAGGGCAAGTAGTGTTTCATAGAAATGTTTTGGTTTTGGAGTATCACGTTTAATTTTAAAATAGTGAACAGATACATCATGAAAAGTTGTCACTTAGCAAAAAATTGTAAAAAGGGGTCAATTTTAAATGAATTTTAAAAGAAAGGATTAGAAACCAAAATATGATTCAGCACAGTTCAAACATATACTGGTACTGCTCAGGCAGAGAGAACAAGTGCCGAACATCCATACACAGGCTTTTACAGTTCCCATAGAATCAGAACTCTTTCTTTACTCTATTTACGTGGCTGAATTTAAATGTGTATAAGATGACTGTAGTGATGAAGCTTATCAAAACGCACATGTGAAAACACACACCTGTTAATACTCAAACAGTAACAACTGATAGAAGTACGTTTGCTTTCTGGGTGGTGTACAGAAAAGAAGCAAAGGCTCCTGTGGTCTCTCATGCAGGATTTATATTATTCACTCAAAAAAACCCACAAAATGCCTTCAAATGCGCAAGCAAGAGCTATCATCACTTTAAAGGCAGATTAAAAAAAAATAAATACTAAAACCACATTCAGCAACTGATCTCTCTCTCCTTGCTGTAGGAACTTTGTGTATACCTTGAAAAAAAACATAAAAGGTTTGATTTTGAAATTCACCACACAGAAATAGTCACAATGGAGGAATTTCGCTCTGGAAGCTATCTTGGCCAGCACATACACCCTTCTGCTAGCCTGCCTGAGTGCAAATTGACTCAAGACATTCCCCAGTCAGGGGACAAAGTGCTACAGGCCACTATCTGATTGCGATAAAGAGAAGAGATTTCTCAGCTCAAGGCAGCAGGAGAGAAGGGGCTGGAGGATTACTGGAAATCTTCACATTTTCCTTCCCATTACTTTATTCTTAAAGTGTTCAAGGGATGATTGCCTCTTCCGAAAGGGACAGATGGCGTCACATCAACTGGTGATGGCAGATATGGCCAAGTTTGGTTCCAGCTATTCTAGTCACTCAAAGTATTATGAACATGAAGATCTCCAGCAGAAATGCTTTACATATAGCAATGCCCAGATTCAAGACAAACTAGCGTAAAAGAATTGCAATGAGTTGCTGACCACACAGACCAACATGGAAAGACACAGTCCTTTCCAAGGATTCCTTCATTACAAATTTGTCAGCATAGAGGTGTCAAGAAAATGTAATTCTATTTCAGAGTGATTTTGAATTAAGCCCGCAGTGACCTCATCCTGCCCCTCTAACAAGAAGAGGGCACAGCTTCCAGAAGCTCTGGAGGCCTCATTCGTTGACACCCATTCACTGAAAAGAAGCTTCCATCTTAAAAAGATGGTGTTCAAAACACCAACAGAATCTGGAATATACATAGTAAGCAGAATGACAATAAGTAAATGCTACCAGATCATTTAAAATTTGATGTCTGAGCAAAAAGAAACTCTAAAATCCACAGTGCCCCCCCCCTTTTTTTTCCTTTAGACTAAAGAGATGTAAGAAGTTATAATTCAGAATTACAGGTATATACTTCACTCATCCAGCTGGCTCTAGAAACATGCATCTGTGGTTTCCTCCCAGAGTACATACATACCTAGGAAATTGTATATGTTTAATACACATGAGCAAAAATTTAATTTGTGTCACAACGGGCACAAGTCTAAATGAGCTCACCCTGATCCCTAACACAGGCTAGCAGTGGCAGCACGGAGCCCCACATGGGCTGATTTACCCCACCAAAGATCACCCTCCCAAACCTGAGATCAGGTAGCTTCATCCTTCCTTGCAAGACACACATTTTCTTTCATGGTTTTCAAGAGTGATATTTGCATTTCCCCTTCATGAGATGTAAAGTGTTCAAAAGTGTTCAAAGAGTTCTCAGTTAGTACTGAAACAGTTACTATTATTCTCCAAGACAGGATTAGTTTGTTGGTTTTTTTTTTAATTGGCTTTTTTTTTTTGTTTTTAAATAAGCACTGAGAAAGGTGAAAATCACTGAATTGTAGCCAATTCATTAACACTCCACAGAGTTATGAAAGGCAGAAGGTGTTGCCAGGTGTACACTCATAAGCAACAGTAATTTATGGTGTACGCAAATATAGATGGAAAAGTCTACTAAGATAATTAGTGTTCATGCGGGGAGACTTCTGGGCTTCGCTCTCTGCTAACACAAATGCTGGAAAAATTGACACTTTCTACAGTAAATCCAGTTAGAGAGGAAAAGAGACTATGGCTTGTCCTCCTCTGCACTGGAAAACATTTTTTTTGTGTGCTAGGCAGGATCTGAGTCAACAGCACACGAAGTAATATACACCCTGGCTCCATCAGGGCATCGCAAAACCCTGCACCCCGAAAATACTGCAATCGCTGGGGCGCAGTATGGGGGGAGGAAGCCCCCAGGACTCAGTCTTGAGCTTACTGCGCCATCTGGAAAAGTCAGTGAATTTCTGTCTAAGCTACTATCACAAATTGCTCTGAGCTCCTCAGCAGAAGTTCTAGGCTGGGGCTTACAGCTGTGACACAGGGTGACTAACTCAGAAACTTCTCGTCTTTGGAGAGAAGTTGCTGAGGTGTTGGGTCGGTGAGGATAGGCAGCCTGCAGAAGAGGTTATGGTAACTCAGAAATTCAGGGCAGGATAGCAAGGGTAGTGCTTGAACAGCAATTTTCTGCCAATGTCACAGGCTCACATCCCCTGTAAGGAGCAGGATAAGATGACCGAATTCTGACTTCTGACCTGACCTGGGCAGATACGAGGAGGTTAAAGGTTCATGCACTAACCCACAGAGCTAACTGGCATCCCTAAAACTCTCTCTTAATCAGTAACCACCAATTTAGAATGAAGCATCTCATCCGAAGCTGTTTAAAATTCAAACAGACCCTTGTAAGTAATTGCTGTTACTTTCCCTCAAATTCTGCTTCCCATTTCAGTTTCACAGACCATAAACTCTATAGAAAATAATAACTTTTGACTTCCAAGCAGTCCCTTATTAAACTGTCTACAGTCACCAGAATGGATGGTCATGTTTTTTTAAAAATGCAGCTGAAAATGAATAGAGTAAACCAGTCTTACTCTGCTTTTCAAAGTCAGTCTTTAGTTTTCCAAATAAGTCTCTATAAATAAACCTTAACTGCACTGCTATGCTACAAGCTTGAATTTGAAAAAAAAAATATAGAATTAGTGCTTAGTAGCTGCCAAAGAAACTATGCACCCTTCCCCAGAAAAAACCAATACTTTTTATTTTGCTTCTACATTTGATCCAAAGCCTTTAAAAGATTTTTTGTTGACTTCAGCAAGTTGCTTTTTTTTTTTTTTTTTTTTTTTTAAATGATTGTCCCTTCCTGTTAAGCGTACCTCTTTCCCATTTTTCAGCCATCGCATGGTTGGTGTTGGGTTTCCCATTGCCGGACAACGAAACTTGACAGTGTTCGCTGCTGGCACCGCATGTAGCCTTTTCTCCATTTTGTCCGTATGCGTCCAATACGGTGCCCCTGTTTCAAAGAGATACAGCCAGAAATATCACTACTCCAAAATCCCTTTCCAGCCCCTTCCACAGGCTGCACATATTCATTTTGGCAGAGACAGCATAGTTTAGAAAGAGTACACAACTGGAAATCATAAGCCACAAGTGCTGACCAAAGTTTTGCAAACAGCTCAGTCTGCAGCCTTGAGTGTATAATTTATGACAAAATTCCAATAATTAACCACAGATATCCTTTGGTTTGTGTATTTCAAGTAAGACAGAGGGACTGAGTTTTCAGTGGACTCAAAAGATCAGATGCTTTCAACCTCAAGCTGAGTTACTGTGAGCGCTCAGCAAACTTTGGATTTTTGAACACCGGCTCTGCAGGCAGACAGACCAAGTCAGAAGACCTCTTGGAAGCCTCAGCCTTAACCTTTCCTCATCTGTTAGAAGGGGGATAAACACACCTACCTGCCTGGCAGCACACTAAAACTTACAGCGTCCCATGGCAATGTGAGCTGTGCAGTTACTGCCACAGAAACCACTAAAATATATTTACAAATGGAGGACTAGCAAAACTCAGAAATACCGTGGATCATTTTCCAGGGATCATTTCCCACTCTCATGAGCCTGTCGATGCCCAAATGTTCACTGATGTCCAACACCACAGTATAAAATAAAAGTGTCTCTCTGAGCCCATATTTACTGGAGTGATCCCTTTTACCAGCTCCCGGCAAGGCTCTCCTGGCTCTCGCTCATGCCTTCCCATGCCCTGGCCCAGCCTGTGCCCCTCATGAGGAGCATGAGGAAGGCGTGGAAAACCTCTCTCTTGTCCAGGTTCTCAATCATTTGTCACAAACCAGTACAGCAAGCACAGTAGAACAAAACATACAACTGCCCATCTGCTTTTACCCTCCAAGAAGTAAATTTGGATAGATAGATCCAAACGTTATCCTATGCTCTGGATCCATGCACCACTTTGGCTGCACCGCACAGCATCTTCACGGCATTGCTTCACTTGCCTCACCATAACAGTTTTTAAAAAGTTAAAGATTCAAGATCTGTTTAATAGTAGGAAACATTAATTTCTTTTACAATGGAGTTTTCCTGAAGCAAATCAGATTAGTGTGGAATTTTTAAGACTAGAGGGGTCCAGAAAAATAACTCTTTCTCTCAGCCCTGTTTCATTTCCTTCATTAGCAGCCTAACACTCCACTATAAATAAACTCTTCCATTCCTCAAATATTTATAGCAGTTCTTACAATCAGTGCAAACTCAGAAATCCTGCCACCCCCCTCTCTAAATAAAAATACAGCTGGATAGAAAATACAGGAATCCTTTAACAACGCCTCTCTCAGTATAAAGAAAACATTCCAAAAGCAAGTCCTATAATGATGCTAAGAACGATAAGTGAGGTTTTTTTGCCCGAAGTGGCAATTAGTGTTAAAATTAATGAAATAGAAAAGCAAAGCAAATTTATGCATGTTATCAAAATAGAAAATCAGGTAACTATTGAAAATTTAACTGCAACACTAAGAAATTGCTACACAGACTAAAATGAATTAGGGATGCAAGGAAAATCACTGTTAACGTTATTTGCTAAAACCAGGATCACATTAAAATAACAGAAGACTTTAAACAAAGCCAACCAAAGGAATTAACTACCACATGCAAAGACCAAATTACATTACACGTATACCAGGCAAAGGCAGAATTACACGTTGGTACTGATTTATTAAAAGGATATTTACTCTGCATCACTAAACTTCTTCCACAAGGCAATGTAAGGTGACCAATATTGGACCCTACCTAACAATTCCCACAAAGTCAAAGTAAACTGTGGCAGGTCAAGGCCAATCAACCATCCGAACCAGTGACACTGGTATCTCAGACAGAGCAGAGTTCCTAGATTTGACCCCAAACTGGCAACACCCCCCAGCAACTTTGCAGCCAGCAGGGTCACTTCTCATCAAACCCATCACATGCACCTTCTCACACCCAGAGAGCATAAAAATCTTGGAAGCATCCACTGGCAAGCACAACCTCGGAACCACAGGCTGCACAGCTCGCCCAGGCAAGCACAGGCTGGATGGACCAAGCTCCAGAGAAGCTCCCAAAAAGGTGCAGCCCGGAAGCAGGGCATCTGACTTAGTCAGGATCCGTCCCCCAACAGCTCCCCAAACAAGGCTGCTTCGTGCAGCCAGGTTTCTACTCAGCTACTAGGCCTGTACTCCATTACAGGGCAGTTGATCCTCTGCTTTTTTTGCATAAAACCCCTTTCCATCAACCTTCATCCTTTAAACACCTCTGCCCCTGGAAGTGAAACGCTCCAATATGACTCGTATGCAACTAATGCACAGGGAGGAAAAAACTTTGCTCTGTGGAAGAGGCAGAGCAGAGAAGAGGCCGGGAGGATGCAGGCAGGAATGAAGAGAAGCAGCTCAGTTCTGTGGCTTGGAGAGAGGGGGACGGGAGAAAGGACTTTGCTTGGAAAGCCTTCCCTCGCACAACCCTCAAATCAGCATAACCTGCAATGCTCCTGATTACAGGGGAGTCAGTGTATGCATGCAGACACTAGGTAGTAGCAATGTATATTGGCAGCTCCTCAGTATGTTTAAGGGAAAAGAGAAAAAAGGCAGCACCACGCCCAAACCATAACACTCACCCTCATTTTCTGCTTTCATACAGCAACTGATCTGACTTAACACACAGCATTTCTCTTTATAAATTAGCATAACCTAAAAGCACCTTTTACTGCTTCTATTTGTCTTGAGAGGAAAAACATCCGGATTCACAAAAACCAATGATGAACGTAGTTAACAAATATATACCACCAAGTGCCAAGTCCTCTTACAGACCGTGCCCATGGCATCCCAATCCCAACTTAGCTAACAGGACAGGTGGAAGTAGGTAGCACTGCCGTTAAAAGTTCACAGTAACAACAGGACAGACTCCAGCACATAGCGGTAACGAGCAGCAGGGGAACGGGTGGGAATTCCTGACTGCTTTTAGAGCTCTCATTAGTGAAGAAAATATCCTGCTGACCCACACTGCACTCCACTGCAAATACATTACATCTAATCAGGCTGATCTCCTGCATCTGAAATTGAAATTAGGCAGCCCAGGAGACCACTTCACTTCAGGACTCCTTGATTTTTATTTGGACTTATCTAATACAAAGAAATACAAAAGTAGTCAGCTCCAAGCCTGCCTGACAAGCACCTCGAGCATGCAATAGCGTGCCTGAAACGACCACATCAACACCCCCCCCCCCCCAAGGTTTCCAGTACTATTGTATATGACCTTTAATTAAAAAACACTTCTAGGCAACATCCAATTTTTGCTGCTCCCTTGAGTGGGTTTCCACTCTACAGGATTTGATGAATTTGAACCTTGTTTCATCCTTTCTGAAATTCTTCAAGTCATGAAAAGAACAGCATGTGGATTACATTTAGATACTTTTTGTTCTTGATGCCAATTTACCATTGCTTGGCCCAGAAGAAATTGTTTAAAGGGTGATAAGGAAAAAAGCCATAAAGCTTCCAGTCACCTGACTAGAATTCAAGGCAGAATAGCAGCATCTATCTATCTATCATCTAACCCAGGGGTCTTCAGAATAAATTACTGTTGGTGGACCTCAGCATAACCATCACAACAGCTGCTGCCTTGCCAGAACCAAGCCAGGATTATAGAAATCTCTTAAACTAGGGATACGTCTCAAAATCACGATGAGGACGAGGCAACAAGCACCAACAATGTATATTCCACTGCTGCCAATAGGAAGTGATGATGATCAGCCTGTAGCTTTGTAAAAGAAAGTCCCAGTTCAAGGTCTTGGAGGAAAAGCCTTGGAGGTGGCCCTCCAGAACCAAGCTGAGGCACCTCTTTAGGGCAACAAAGGGAAAAACTGAGTCGCCAACAAAGCCATTTTGTGGAGAAAGAGGACTATTCTTGCAGTGGAACCAATCCTGCACCTTCTAGGAGCACTAATCCCTCAACAAAAGCTGGAAATAATAAAAAGCTATTCAGGATGCAGTCTGGAACAAATCTGCCACAGTGTTTTTTCAGACAGTTAAAGTATCTGTCAAGCTAGAAGGACACCAAATGCAGAGTGAAATCTGCTATGCATGCCTTTTACTTAAAAATACACACAGGGCAAATGGTCAAACGCATGTGTGTACACGCAAGTGCCCTCCTCTCCCAAGAGCACGTTCCTCCTCACAGCTACCAAGCCACTTAAAGCCTCCATCGATTTCAAGAGCAGTTGTATTTTCTGGACAGCCTTGAAAATTAGGCTAGATTTCCTCAACAGCCTCACTGCCTGCACTGGAAAACCTTGGCCTCTGAAAATGTATTTGTAACTAACAGAGGCAAAGAAAATAAAAAAGCTTAAAAGAATACTTACCATCGTAAATAAAACAGCTCTTAAAGGTTTGCTTTGTTTTAAATATGCAGGAATGAGAATGCCAAGGTTCAGTTTCCTGTGGAAGGCACTACAGCCATTTCCTGCCTCATCACATCATAATTAACATGCCAGGACAGCTGGACTTTATCAGAATTGTTTCATCAAAAAGCAACAACCTTTGAAGACTATGGCCTTTTGTTTCCATCAGTAAAGGCATAACCAGGCCATTTCCATTGCTTATCCTTAATGATCACAGCTGTAATTTGTATGTAAATTATCAGTTAAATTGTTTTAGATCCGCAAAGCTCAAACCATGTTCAGGAAACACTTAAAAGACTTTTTTCTCCTAAAGATCAGCAACCAGGGACTCCCCTGAAGTCCTAGACTTCCCTAGGCTCTGCCTACCACAGACAGAAGGTGATAAAAGGGCATTTGACTATGACAGAGCACTGCCTGCCACAGGGCATGCTCAGGGAGGACTTCGGCTACTCCTCAACTCCTCGTTCACTTTTCAGTCTGTCTTGCAACAGTTTCTTAAATTAGATCTGGCCTTTTGGACACGATATAAAATCTAGAAGGGGAATGGCAAATTATACCAATGGGAAGGCCTAGAAGACACTGGATATGCAAGCTTCAGTGGTTTGCAAAAGCACCGCACCAAGTTCCACCCCTAACTTTCATACAGCTCTGATCTTGCCAAATCACAACCCTCTTTCAGCAGCGTTGTATTAATCCAACTGAGTTACGATGATGCAGCTTTTCATTGAAAACAGACTACTTGCAGGGATGTGGTGCCACGATCATTCTTCCGGTTCCAACTCTTCCCGTCAGGTGCTCAGACATTGGGAGGACGGCTGCGCTGCTCCCGGCGCCCGTCTGCAACTCACAAGAAGCCCCAGCAGTTTGTGGGCACCTTGTAAAGAGCAATCTTATGAGGACTCGTTTGTGCAACACTCTGCTCAGGAGCAATCTGTCTTCTTGCACTTTCGTCCCTTCTACACAGCAAGAGTTTGTGCTCTCCCAACCATCCAAGATGTTTAAACATTCACGCTCTAGAGGCATCTTTCATTTTGAGCAGGGAAAGTGTGACTGACCCCTGCTACAGCACACACCCCATCCCTGGAAGACGGAAATTGTCAGTGGCCTTTCACCAGCTCCTGAATCAAGATTAACAGTAGCTTAAAATGATAGCTTGTATTACAAGAACATCACAGAAGACACCACTGGGTAGTTCTGCCTGTTGTGTGAAAGGGTGGGAGTTGTTACCATGATGTTACAGAGCACAGTTACATTGAGATCAGGTCCTTCTCTTTTTTCTTGCTATATGCACTTTCAAAATCCATTTGTGCTCACAGTGAATCTCGAAAGCCATCAGCACAGATTAAAAGCACAACTGCCTTCATTAACACACTGAAAAATATTGCAAGACCTTTTCTGACCAACACCAATAAAGCTCTAAAGTCACAATAGACACAGGGATGTTTCCTAAAAGGAATTTCTACCCAGGAGTCCTTTTCAGGGGAACACTAACATTGCCTGGGTTTGTGGGCTTTGCCTAGACAACTTCTTTTAAAAGCAGTGTCCCTTTTCCAAACTCGCCAATTATCTTTGCCATCACATTCCTTTGTCAGCACAGCCTCCAGCTGCTTAATCTCAGCCACTTCAAGCTGCACCTGTGAATCAGACCGGGTTAATCACACTAACAGATGGCAGGGGCCAAACAGGCAGCTAAGAACTTATATCATTTTAAATAGCATCTAATGTTTCACAGCTTCAGATCAGGGGCAGTCATATACCACAGTCACTAACTAGGGGAGCTGAAATCCAGGCTCATACTTTATCATCTGAACAAGTGTTTCAAGCATGCAGTTTAGCTCCCAATTACTAATCAGGCTGAGGAGCAAATATACTACCTGGATACTGCGTTCGGTAACTAGCTGACATCTCCCATGAAGGATTTCTGTGTTCTGTGTTACTGACTTTACAAAGCACGAGCGATAGCAAACTACCAGCCACCACAGGGATTTTGCAACAGTGCACAGAGGCATAAAGAACCAATATGAAATTTACATCTTTTTTTTCTTAGTGGCTGCTGTATTTAGACCCTATTAATAGCTTTCCAAATTCTCTAAAGGGACTGAAGTTTAACATTCAGATAGGTTTAAGACTCTTTTAGCCCATTTTCATCATGCATAAGTAACATAAAATGTGGGGTTAAGAGTTGGATTGCTTTGTGACAAACCCCGAGGTCCTTTGCAGACAAGAGAACCTCATTGTCTCCAAATTCATTTTTCCCGGGGAGATTTCTGCTGAGATTAAGGATGGAAGGATTTGCCTCATTACAGCTTAATTTTATTTTTAAAGTTTCCATACCACCTTTTAACAAAGTGAGCTGGATCTCTGTTTCTTCTGTCAGATTTCAGCTCAGGCTCAGGGGAAGTTAGTTCACCTGTGAGAGGCTAAACCAGACTAAGACCGAACTTCAATTCAGGAAGAAAGGAAACTGCAGAAAAGCTAGCAAGAAGGGAGAAAGAAAGCACAGACCAGTAAAGCGTGTTTAGAAGAATATTAGTTTATTTTTCTTTTTCTTTTCCAAGTTACGAACTATGTGAAACAGAAAACAGAGGAGGACAAAGATACCACTATTTGACAGCCCATGCAGTTAACAGTCAAGAAGCTCTAAAGACAGGAGTGCAAAAGACAGGACATTATTTTCCACGTGGATCTTGCTAGTGACTTCTGGCAGTTCGCTGTTACTTACTCATCTGGTTGCTGTCATTCACAAAGTCCTCAGACCCATCATTGTCGTCTTCATCATCCCCAGAGGAAAGAGCATCTGCACATTAAAAATAATCAAGTCTTTAAAACAGCCTATTCTTACAGACAAATAAACCAATATGCTACATCTTAGATTGTCTACCAAGGAGAACAGATGTTATGTTAGTTATGCAGAGGCTACAGAAAAAGAAAATCCAGCCACAAATGTGTGTTATTCTTATAAAATTCTAAACAAAACCAACTAATAACCCTGAAATGCTACAAAGTTTCAAAGGGAGCTTGCTAACTCCAAAAATCTCTGTCCACTTAGAATTTTAATTTTTCTTAAAGACATTCAGCTGAACAGAACTGAGTGTCTCCAGAATGATTTAGCTCTAAACTTAAAGGAGGTGGGACACCCCTTTTCCTCTTCTGATGCAGGGGGAAAAAAACTTGTATTAATTTTACTGGCTTTATCATCATCACAGCAACTCTGTATACTTTAATCCTGTTGTAGTGGCATAAAACAGAGGGCTGTTCAGCAGCTGTTAATCACTATAGGTCCCACAAAGTAAAAGGAGTGTATATGAGCCGAGTCTGTTTCAGGGGCAGGACAAGGGGGGAAAATACCTGAAATAACTACAGAACTCAGCTCACCTCGCTGTGCCCGAGTGGACTGTTTCACGTTATATCATAACATGTCTTTGTATCACATTTTACAGCTTCTACATGCAAAAACCTATGTTTAACTCACTCACCTGTAACATTTACAATGAAGTACAGGGTATCACTGTCTAGGGTCCTAACAGCAGTGCAAGCATAGAGGCCCGAATCTCTGGGTGTAGCATCCTTAATTTGTAAGTACTCCCCAATAATCACTGTCCTATTGTTGGGCCCCAAAGGGACCCCATCCTTAGTCCAACTGATCTTGACGGAGTCTTTCAATTGACAGCGCAACTCAAGCGGTTCTCCTGGAAGTGCTGAATATACATCTGGCTGAGAGATTTGGTATTTGGTTGGCGGCTCTGCGAAGGTGGAAGGAAAGGAGGAAAAAGGAGAAAGAGAAGGGGAAGGAGAGAATTTCCAACAAAAGTCAGTGAAGGCCCTTTTCATCCACAGAAATCAAGTTAGGTTAAATAAAAAAGTTTTATCCAGATTAGCCCAGCAATCTGTCTTGTAAAACTGAACCACATACAGGTATGGGATAGGCTTTATTTTCAAGAAGTTAACCACAAACAAAGCTCATTCCCTTTGATCACGGCACTTCGGTCCCAAGTGCAAAGGCTAGTCGCAGAGAGCTGACTTTGGGGAGAAAAGCACTGCTGACAGTTTTGTACCCTAACATTTGGGACAATGATTCAAACTAATATTTATCTTTCCCCATTGATTTTATAAGTTGCTTTTTTTTAAAAAACAAAAAAAAAAAAAACCTGACAAGAGCGGTGTTGGAAGAAAAGGATGGCCAAAAAACCCCTCACTAAGCTAATAAACATGAGTTGTACACACAGCATATATGATGTCCTTTATTTTTCTCCCTGCACCCTTCCCAAAGTCTCTACATTTGCCTTCTATACTGCCAATTCTGTTCCCAGTGACAGTGACTTTTTCCTTTAATTTTTTTTGCCTCATTTCTTATTTCACAGCCTCTCCTGAGCACAACACAGCAGAAACCTGGAAATACATGTGAAGCTTTCAAAGTCACAGTGTACACAGAAGTTCAAAATGAAATGGCTCATCCATCAGTTCCCTTCTGTAATCAAATAACAAGAAAATGTTAAACCACAGCCTTTTTCCAAAAACAACATCCTTGGAAAACTACATCTGCCTATAGTTATTAGAACTTCACCACCCCTTTCCAAGGCCAGCTCTCAGTATGGGGAAGGCAACCGCAGCCCTGGGCACCTGGGACTGTCTCCACGGGGGCAGCGGGACAGCTCAGGGCAGGGACCCCCCACGCCACACCTATGACAAGCTCCAGCTGTGCCCAGCATAGGGACTGCTTTTGTAACTGCTTTCTCCCTACAACCACAGTACCCCTCTCCCACGAGCCTCCCACCCTTGCCAAGGCCAGCATGAAAAGTAAATAAGGGAAAGCAACATGAAGGCATCTTCTGTTTGCTGACGAGGAGGGTCCCATCGTACCAGCAGCTGCTCCCCAGCATGCATCCTTCCCCGTGCAGGCACCAACTGTGCACCGCATATATAAATAAAACACACACCTCTGTTTGTTTGGGAGTCTGAGGGAATATTAAAATAGGCAACTCCTCCGTGTCCACCCTTGCTTCTAAGAATACCGAAACCCCGAAACCCCTGTTCCTTGTCACTGGGGCATGGCATTGTCATTTCTTGTATCACCCCTTCAACAACAGAGCAGTCTGAAACAAGTGCCACATCTGAGCCAGCCTGTGGACAGGAGCTTGGAAATGCTGAAGCTGTGCCAGTGGTTCAGGTTTAGGTAGTCCAGCAAGGAGTAGGGAGTTGGACTCAACGATTCTTATGGGTCCCTTCCAACGAGATATTCTGAGTACCGGAAGTGGCCATCACATTGGGACGCTCATGCATTTAAATATTGGGTTATACTGATGCGCTTGAAAATAGCATGCCAAATTTCTCCTCCCGTTCATCCTGGAATCATGTAATTTCAGGGAGTTCAATGGGAGCTTACCCAAAGCAAAGGGAGAACAGATCCAGGGATGTGCCCTTGCAAAGTGAGCAAAGCTTCTCCTGGCTTTTTCCCTAGGGCAAACACAGGGTTTTTTCAAACAACAGATTTGACACATACATCAACCAAGATGGTGGCCAGGAGAAGTACATAAAACCACCTAAACTAGACCAGTTCTGGAGGCTGTAAAGATTCTTGGATTTAGGTTTTATAACAAGGTCTCAAACTTTCTCGCATGCAAAGTTCCATCTCCAAGTCTAGGACAAGCTAGAATACAGCTTTATACTCCTTATAAACTAATTCAGTCTTGCTGATACAGTTGAGAATCCACAGATCTGCAATGCAGATGTTTTACCAAGCACCACACTATGCTGTAAGAAATCTAATTTCCAGAAGGAGCACAGGCTCCTTTCTATGTATATTTCACATCAGTCACAAGTATATTTGAGTATGCTTGAGATTTTTTTTTTAATTCAGATTCCATTGTTAAATTAAAGAAAAAAATAGTAGCTGAAGCCAGCTAGCTAATTTACTTCAAAGTTTCTAAAACTTCTTTTTGACACTCTACCTGTAAAGAAAATTTCTTTTACAGAGTTTACACTGTGCCAACAATGCACAGGAGTCTTTACAAATGTCTTTGTTTAGACTTTTTAAAAGCCACCATGGGTGAAGATAGCTCAACCCGCCTTTAAGTGCATTAGCAGCTTTCGCTGAAAAGCCCCAGGAAACTCGCAGGATGGCCACACGGGGTGCAGTGTCCTCCTTGGGCAGATCAGCGGTTCACATACAATTACAAGGAAAATAATTTTCTACCTTCCATCCTTGATTTCATCTCTTTTTAAACTATTACCCCCAAATTTACACTGAGTCTTTCAACACAAATCCAAACTCAAGAACAGTAATTTATTACAAAATTACAAAAAAAAAAAAAAAAAAAATCCTTTTACACAGAAAATTACTAGTATACTGAAACAAAACAAGTGTCAAATAGGTATTAGCATTTGGTAAATGTTATCCTCCTCCATTTCTTTCTCTCTACAGTATGAGGGAAGACACAGCAAAAGGTGTTGTCATGAAATAATGAAGTCATGTTTGGAAATAGTGAGTTATTTCAGGTAAGCCTTTGTGTTGCCAAACTAGAATGTAGCAGCACTTAAGACTGTCACTTTTTATAGTGTTTGCCTATAAACTTTTTCCAGTGTGGGTTTGAAATGGTGCCCAGAAGCAAACAGAGAACAGGTGGGATTCTGAGGCATGAGTCCGCCCAACAGCTTCACTATGAAAATCAACCAGTTTAAACTGTTAAAAAATTCCTGACAGCACATAAACAACCCATGCTCCAAAGTTAACTCTCCCTCCAAGACACTGCACAAGGATTTTTACACTGCTCTGAAATTTAGGGAGAAATTTTGAACTCATGTGCGTGCTGTAGCATCAAATCAACGGTTCCCCTGAGGCTGGCATCAGGTTTACTTCCCCGTTTCCATGTCTTTTAAGTGTAGCAGAGAAATAAGGTTGCAAGTTTGCTCAGCCGTCACTTGTACCCATCCTCCAGCGTTTTCGGCAGCATCCTCCTGAATTTTCTCTTACTGAAAATAGCTGGATAGGAGAAGGAGGAGATAGCCCGGCAAAGCCTGCACCACCGAGCAGGGCTGGATGATTTGGTATCACCTTCATGCTCCTCCAGCCCTCTATGAAGCTCTGCCTTGAAACTCCATCCTCCAGCCATCACCATAAGCCTGGAAATCAGCCCTTTGCTGGGCGAGCTCTGCACAGAGGAAGGAAGGTGGCACAGGATGCTTTTCTAAGTGAGTTCTCCTGCAAATCCTATCATTGTGGCATAAGTTCCTACTGCAAAGGTGCATTAACTGATGTGAATAACACCTGTCTATCACCCCTTGAAAAACAAATAAGCAACAAAGGCATGTGTAAAATTTCTGCTGATGTTCTTAAAACACAGGGGGACAAGGGGAGGGAACATTGCTTCTGCTATTGTCTGCTCTCAGCTACATCCTTATTTGTAACAGTGGTGCACACAATGTATTTCAACTTTATAGGTGGAGCTGCTGAACAATGCCTGCATGGAAAGCCAAGCTGCTGTTAAATAAACAGACACAAACTGTTTCTTTGCCTGCTCATACAGTCTTGCAGCACGGTTTATGCCATCCAGCCATCAAATGGAGTAAATAATGTTTGTATAAAAACCATGACCACAATAAAGGACTGGGGACATTCTGAATGTGCTATTTCAGATTGTTATGAGATATGCAATCGTATTCCAAATTATACTTCTATTCAAGATTCAGTCACTGAAACGAGAGATTTATACTTCCTTAGGTTTTAAATTATTATTTGCCTCCATTTATTAAAATGTTAACAAAGAGCTGCTTATCTTAAGGCTCAAGGTATTTAGTTACTTAGTTACAGAGCCAAATAATTAAACAATCAGCTAATAGCTAACCCCAGCAAAGATTCTCACACAACTCTCCATAACACAAAAGCCTCAGACCCCACTAAGCCACTTTCCCTTCAAAAGGCTTTAGTAAATAACTAAACACTCAACATAGCATGCCCAGAAAGGTCAACGGACCTGACCTGTCAAGAATCCAAGAGGTTCATTGCAAAATTGAATGCCCCCATAGGGAACGCCAGGCTGCCAACCACTACTGCTCCTCCTGCTTCTGCCACCCCTTTCTCCTGCTCTTCCTGTCACTGAGGAAGGTCTGGCAAGGCCACGCTGGATGAGCAACATGGAATGGGGATGCGGAGCTATGCCCGAAGCAGAATAGCCACGGCCCCATGACTTGGTGAGTCAAGCCCAAGCCTTCACACTCTCTCCAGGAGGCAGCCTCTGCCGGATCAGGAAGCCCAGGCACCATCACTCAGGTGTGCAGCCTCCCCTCCCAGGTACAAGCTGATGGGCTTCTCCCTCAATTTAAGTTGGCAGGCTAAAATTAAGAGTAGCTCCCTGTCCTCTTCTGACTACAGATGATAAACTCAGTCCACAAAAGAAAAGGCCACCAGTTTAAAAATGCAAAAAGTCATTCTGGCCACAGTGATTATCTCCCATTAGCTATTAGCAAACCAAAGCCACAAAGGCTAAGCACTCTCCTTATAAAAAGGGGGACAAAATAGTATTTGCCATTTATCCATCTGCTTCTCCAAAGTCACTGGATTCCTGCTAAAAAAAAATTCTGGCTCCCTTATTTGTTCGGTTTTCCCGCCAGCTAGCTGCCAGCTCTGCCCCCGCCAGGCATAATCAGGAAGTCTCCCTGTTCTGATAAAATACTTTCCAACTTAAAGTTCCTTCTATAATTTTAAAACACAAAAAAAAATTTTAAAAAGAAAAAAAATCCTTTGTCA